TGCACGAGTCCGTCCTTGCCCAGCGCCGTGTTGATCTCGTTGACGGTCCCCATGCTCTCGTCCACCATGGTCATGGTCATGCCGCCGTGGATGATGTTGTGGTAGCCGCTTAGCCCGTCGCCCACGGCAAACAGCGTGTCCACGCGCGTGATGGGCCGTGCGGGATCCCGCAGGTGCGTCTCGTCGTCGGGGCGGAAGAAGGACAGCACGTGCTTTAGGCCCCTTTCTGAGGCGAGCGTTGCGCCGACGAACTGATCGTGCTGGGGGGATACGGGGTTGAAACATTGGGGGATGAACGGAATTGAAGGGCCCGTGCCGTAGGGGCTGTTTTCGCTCAGGAGGAGGTCGGCGCACCAGGGGATCGAGGTGAAGTGTGAAAGGGCGGATGGGTAGAGGCTTGGTGGTGTGTTGGGCGGGTGGAGGTTGAGGGCGGGACTGAGTACCCGATCGAGAGGGGTGAGCTGTGAGGGTTTATTGTTTTCTGACATGATGGGGTTGGAGGTTGTGGTTGTGGTTGTGAGACTGGGGAGGATTGATGGGCTTGTAGAGGAGGAGTTGGTGTTGATTCTTCACTGATTGATAAGTGAATGAACTTGGTATGGGGAAGATGGAGACCTCGGCTATGCGAGGCCCGTGAGTCGGAGTGGGCGGTTGTGCTGTGGCTACTTGTGTGGGGGTGCAGACGGCTCCGCATACGGTCGCACAACTAGTGCCGACGTGTAAGTGCCCAGGGTTAATCTAGGCAGACTGTGAATATCTACGCACGACTATCCGCCTTTTCAAGACGTACTCATCAATTGCGAGGTATATACCCACGTATTATGTGTGGAATATCAAGTGTCCATCTACCTAGGTACCTAGGTAGGCACCGTACCTAGTAGGTAGACTGGCATGAAATAGCATACTGGATAGCCAAGTATTTATCACGGCTAATTTATCAGCAGATATGGCACCAACACTCGTAGCTCTGAAAAAATCTTCTACCAGCAAATATCCGTTTGCATGCCAACGACTGACCATTACGCATAGACATCAATGTCATCCAAAGTGTTCCTTTGATATGCAGCAAAATTCACAGCCATCTCTGTCCATCTCACTCACAATGCCTGTCTACATGCCAACTGCCATAGGCCGTTTATACTCTTGCCAGCTGGCAAATCATCGTGACCAGCCGACAGCCCTACGCGTGGAAAAAGTTCCATCTCATCATGAGAAAACCACGCCAAAATCTGCCTCTGCCATTCTACAGTTTTCTCTACATTTGCAAACGTCACATCTAACCCGTAATTAATCATTCCCATTACCTGCAACCAGCTTTCATCACCATGGAGAGCAGCGACGATGGATCGACCCTTAGCACAAACCACATCAACACCCTCATCACCATTGAGCGAACAGGGGCAGGTCTATCTATGGCCGCTATCCTCCTCACCGTCGCTCCGTTCCTGGCATTCAAGAAACTCCGCACCACTCCAAACACGTTTCTCGTGTTTGCATCCATGGCAAACGCTGGCGCGAGCGTGGCCTCCATGATAGGGTACGACGGGCTACGGATGGGTGAAGAGTCGACGCTTTGTCAGGCCCAAGGGTTCATATTCGAGTGGTAAGCGGAGTGGCCAAGGTTTTGTAAATGCATTGTTGACAATGGATTGTAGGTTCATGCAAGCCGACCCCTGGTGGTCGTTCGCAATGGCATTCAATGTCTTCTTGGTATTCTTTAACAACGCCAACCCGAGCAAGTTTCAGGAATACAAGTGGATATATTGCGTGGTTTGTTTCGGGGGGCCACTGTTGCCTGCCATCGTGCTTGTTTCTATTCGTGACGAAGAGCGAGGCCCAGTCTTTGGCGACGCAGCCGTGAGTATCCCTGACATACCTGCATGTTGGAAGGCTATTCTGACAGGAGCTCAAGCTGTGGTGCTGGATCCGGCCCAAATGGAGCATTGTTCGTCTATATGCGTACTACATTCCCATTTGGATCTGTATTCTCCTCTCTATTTTGATCTACATTGCTGTGGGATACCATGTTTTTCGTAGCAGGAACCAGCTGCGGAATGTGACGTTCCAAAACCCAACTAGGAATTGGCGCAATGGATCTCTGACGGATAGCGAAAACAAGATTTCTGGAGAAGAGGTAAGAATACGGTACATCAGTCATGAGGAGAAAGAGAGACAGACAGACCTGACTTCAGCAGAACCCTACGAGACAAAATGTCTGCTATGGACTCGCAGTCACAGAAGTCCAAGTCACAACCAACTTCCCTGGTTTTGTCGACGAAGATATCCCCGTTCTCCCAGCAGCTGTGCACAGGACACCCTCTCGAATGTGCGGCCGATCATGGCTAGATTCCCACAATGACTCGGATAGCGAGAGGGTTATACCTACACAGCTGTTTGAGACGACTTGTTCTTCTGGGGGGCGATACACTAATAGTAATAATGCGCTAGTCGGGAAATTTGGGGCGTTGAAATCCACGGCCTCGATGAAGCTCAAGCGTTTGGATCCCGTCAAGATGGCTTATCTGCGGACGAGTGGCATCTTTGGCATCTCGGTGCTGATTACATGGATCCCTAGTTCGATTAATCGGATTTATAGCCTTTGGAACGGGGGACAAGTCAGCTACCCTCTCAGCATTGCAAGCGGTTGTGTGTTGCCCCTCCAGGGTGTTTGGAATGCCATCATCTTCTTCACGACCAGTTGGTCAGATGTCCAGGCCGAGGCCAAGACGCTCAAGGCAAGGCTCGGTTATGGGGGTGTGTGCGAGTACCCTCGGGGCACTCGCCTGGAGAGCAGATTGGGCATCTCATCAGTGGAAACGTATGACTCTTTCAACGAGTCCCAATGCCATGGAACAAAGCGCTGCGGATGTGGTAAATGTGTTGGAGAGATTGTCAGGCTTGAGGATTGGAATGGCTGCACCAGTCCATCGCGCATCTAATTCCAGTGCCGCACACCGACGACAGACTATGCGACGTGTTTGATGGGTAGAAAACAATCCTTGGCTGAAGACACGTTCAGGGAAAGAAGAAAAGTAAATGTTGGGCAGAGTATTGTATTTGTTTTGACCACGCCTGTAGATATGAATATTTTTGCGGACCTTTTTTAATCAATTATTAAATTCTGGAAGTAAAAATTTCCTCTCCCTCGGCTGTATCAACTCCATCCTTGATGCATCTCTTTACAGCCGCGTCAAGGTCTTCACTGCCGTCCTGAAGATCAAGCCATGTGTTCTTGACACCGTCTGCAGCGAGTAAGGCATCTGCGGTGGCCGCCACTGTAGCTCTGCTCGCATCGCCCTTTACATGAGCCGTCTTGCCGAGCTCAACCTTGCCAGCAGGTTCGTCGGTAAGCGTAGCTGGTCGAAGGCAAATGCCAACAAGAGTAGAACTCTTCTTGGACGTCTCGTAGAGGACTTCATCCGCGGCAATCTTGGCCTTGTAGTAGGTCGCGAGCACGCCGTAGTTGATCTTTTTGTTGTACTCGTCCCACTCGCCCTCTGGCCACCACGAAGCCCCTGCGCGCCGAGAACCCCCGTACGAGACGAGGAGGAATCGTTTAATAGAGGGAATGTCAGCGGCAGCGCGGATGAAATTGACTGCCGCGTCTCGATCTATCTTGAAGGTCTGTCAAATGTTAGCAATGGACGGCCAGGTTCAAGGTGGCTGTGATTCACATGCCATTTCGGGGCCGCCTTTGCCGCCAGCGCCTGTTCGAGATCAGTCACTGCTTTCTCAATTGCACAAATCTGTGTATCTGGTGGGATGTACCGGCACTCCACGCAACGTAATCAGGTTTAACGTTGTTTAAAATGGCCGCGGCACGTTCTTGTGTAGAAACTTCACCCACACTGCTGACCAGAACGTGGAGCTTGCCAGGCAAACCACTGCCGAGCTTCTCAATGGCAGGGGCCTGCTCCTGAGTACGGATCATGCTGGTCACGGTCCATGATCTTTTGAGCAGCAGGGGCGTGAGCAGCTGAGCAATCTTGCCGTGGCCGCCGATGAGAAGGACATGATGAGATGAGGCCATGGTTCGTGGGTTCGATGACGGTGCTGCGAAAGCGTTGGAGCTATGCTTTGATAACTGCAGGTCCGGTTTGCAGATTATGGCACAAACGATTATTTGAGAGTGTAGCTATTCAAGCAGTTCTCAGTCGCACAGAGATTGAAGACGAGTACTCCGTAAAGGCAACCGGGAAGCGCTTCGGGCTGGAGATTGGCGGCGGCCACTGGCTTGACATGATGTATTGACTGATTACAAATGCAGCTTGGGGCCCCCTCAGTTCACCACTGGGAATGATGACGCCATTGTGCATGCTTGACTTGCAGTTGGTTGTACTGGTAAGTACTTGTGAATGTGAAGACACATGAGCCTTGCGGACCGTACTTGCCGCTTTTGCTTAGAGTTTTAGGCGCCGATCACTGTACCCGTGGGACCCACAACATTTGAAGCTTGGGTTCCACCTCCGAGAAGCCAGAGCTATTATATTTATGCTGGCGGGTTCAGATTAATGCAATCCACAGCTTTTCCTCCTGTATTGTAATTTGGGGTGAATTCCAAAACACGTCAATTTATGTAAGATCAATAATTTAGTAGTTTAAAATGAAGCCTTTCCTGGCAAGTTGTCTTTTTGCATGCTTCTATCGCGCGCTGCCCATCGCGTCCCCTGCAGCCCCAAAGCACTCTAATAGCGTCTTCTTCCATGGCCCTAATGTTCATGTCTTGAGCCCAATTTCGCGGTCTTGTCGGTGGTTGTATGGTGACCTGCCACGATAACCTATCAATTCTTCGCTCAGGAATGTTCTCTCCCCGTGAAATGAAATCCAGTCCGTTGTTGTCTCTCACCTATGTGCTAGTGTCTTAGTCAACTCGGCGCCAGCCGGCCCCATATGGGCCCCCCATCCCACGACGTCAATCCTCACGACAATATTCCTCACGTTACTCCGTCCACCTCAAGAGACGTGGCATTGCTTCCCAAAACCACTTTATACCGTCCATGATGGCGGTGCCTCCTATCATACACTCAGAGAAAGGTATGTCCCTCCTCGCTATACCGACTGCGTCGTCTCGTCATGCTAACTTCCTGAAGCCTGGGTCACACTCATCACCAACGAGTCCTACCTCCCAGGTCTCCTAACCCTCAACCACTCCCTCCGCACCGTCAAATCCGCATATCCCCTCATTGCCCTCCACACACCCTCCCTCCCCTCCTCATGTATAGCTGCCCTCTCTCGCCGTGGGATCCCATCGATCCCCGTTCCCTACATCGCGCCTAGATCCGGCAAAAAGTACCTCGAGGATGCGCGCTTCAACGACTGCTGGACGAAGCTCATCGCCTTCTCGCTCACCCAGTTCTCGCGTGTAGTCCAGCTCGACTCTGACATGCTCGTTCTCAAAAACATGGACGAGCTCATGGACCTGGCCCTCGACCCCGTCTCCCTCAGCGAGTCCGGCTCCGAGACGAGCAAGCGGGTATTCGCGTCCGGACACGCCTGTATCTGCAATCCGCTCAAAAAGCCTCACTACCCGTCTACCTGGATCCCCGCCAACTGCGCGTTTACACACCAGCATGATAATCCGGACCTGGCTCAGGTGGAAAGCGCTGATCCGGCACGCAGCCTAGGGGACTTGAATAGCGGGCTGCTTGTTATAAATCCATCCAAGGTATTGTTCGAACAGATTATAGAACACATGGATGCTCATGGGGAAACGTACGCCTTTCCGGATCAGGATTTGCTGGCGGATTTGTATAGGGGTCGATGGGTTCCGCTGCCATATGTGTATAACGCTCTGAAGACGATGAGAACTGCGGATGTGCATGGTGCGATTTGGAGGGACACGGAGGTGAAGAATGTGCATTATATTTTGAGTCCGAAGCCGTGGGGGGAGCTAGATGAGCAGGGGCGATGGAAGGGTGAGAGTGAGATTAATGGTTGGTGGGCTGAGGCTAATCGGAGGAGACTGGAGAAGGAGAAGGAGGAGGGGATATAGGGTTGAGTTCTCCGTTTAAGGAGCTGGCGGGTAGTATGGCTGTTGCAAGAAATCATGAGCGACCGGTGTTGGGGGTGATTCACTGAGTGAGATGGCTGAGACGGAGTTTAGATTTGGACTTTCCCCCGGGACGATTGGGGGCCATTATTTTCGTTCTTCAAAAAGTCAAGTTGAGTATCTGCTCTCCTCCTCTTCTCCGTTGAGTGCAGTGCGTGCATGATGTTCTCAGTTCAGAGAGGCGTTCTTGGTACACGGTTCTACAAGGGGTTCAGGTGAACTTGCCTTGCCATGAATAGGCTGGCGTACCAGTTGACCCCTCGAGTGGCCCGTCGCAAGGTCAAGTCTACTCCAAACGGCCCGAACAACCAGTCCTTATCGGCGGATATTTCAATTTGCGGCCAATACTCTTGACAAAGTTTGCAGTTTTCCACGAACTCCAATGTCTCCTCCTACTATTACCCGGGTCAGGTAGTTGTGGGTAGAGGCCAATGCTCGATATTTTTCTCTTCCAGCCCAAGATTCTTGCGAACGGCCCCTATCTCACTGTGGACTACTTCCTCTCATTGATCGTCTTGGTGCTCATGTTGGAGTAGCCGCGCTTGTTCTTGCCCAATCTCTGGAAAATCCAGGAATTGTCATTCCTCCACATGCGCCGACTATCGCCATCGTTTCGAGGAGTCGAAAACAGCGGCTCCGGTTCTTTCACAAGCAAGTCCCGGGCATATCGACGATGTGCCTCTCACCATCAGCTGACTTGGACGCCGACGCTGTGGTGCTATCTACACGGCCATTGACATCTGGTGCCCTCTCTCTCCTGCTCCTAGAATTCGACAACCGAGCATCAGCGACCAGTATTGATATAACTTGTGTGATGTAAAGTTTATTGATGGCTCTCACTAGCGGCAGCTATGGATTGCGTTGAAGATGCAATTAATCCTATTCATTGACTCAATCTAATAAGGGAGGCGTCGATGTCTTCTCGCAATAAATATCTCCTTTGGGACCCATTTTGGCTAGATGACTGCGTTTTTCAAAGCCGTCCATTGAACCTTGACAGTCCTATTCCGATCCGTCCTACATATGTAGCCTCCTGCTAATGCGTAAACTCCAGATCACGCCACATAATGACCAGAACTCATCGCGGTGTGGTTCACATGTGGGATTATCGACAAACGCCACTGGTGCTGCAAGAGAGACCGCTGCAACAAGGAACACCATTATTGCAGAATGAACCTGATGCGTTACAGCCTCGACAGACGCTGGAACTGCTGCAATAGAGTCCGCTACAGCATGGGACACCATTATTGCAGAATGAACCTGATGCGTTACAGCCTCGACAGACGCTGGAACTGCTGCAATAGAGTCCGCTACAGCATGGGATACCGTTATTGCAGAAGGATCCGGATCCGTTACAGCCTCGGCAGACGCTGGAACTGCTGCAGAAGAGGCCGCTGCAACAAGGAACGCCATTGTTGCAGAAGGATCCGGATCCGTTGCAGCCTCGGCAGACGCTGGAACTGCTGCAGAAGAGGCCGCTGCAACAAGGAACGCCATTGTTGCAGAATGACCCGGACCCGTTGCATCGCTTATCTAGATTGGCAGAGGGCAGATTGTCTTCTGTAGGGCTTGCAAGTCCCAAGCCAAGGAGTGAGGCTGCAAGAACAATTTGATTCTTCATCTTGTATAGGTCATCAGTGGAAGAATGGGATAGGATGGTGAAGTGCCGGATATGAAAGGGAACAAGGTATTGACTAAGGTCAACGTACGGAGATATAGTGTGACTAGTTAAAGCTTTCAGGTTCGTAAAGAAAGTCGGCATCAGACGAGCTGAGCCTCAACCTCTTATATATACCTAGGTAAGTCACCGTTGAGGCTGCAGGTGAACAAGGCGCATGTATCTCACCCATACAGCTTTGAGTTGTGCCGATATTGCATTGGAGGCTTGTATAGCCGGGTCTATAGCAGTTCTGGACTTGTACAAAAAGATGTCAACTGGTGCGAGAAATGATGCAGATCCTCTAGCATGCATCGATAGTCAGCTATCAAGCTGCGCTCTACAGGGGCTTGCATGGCAAATAGAGGAAGTTGCGAGGCTTCAAGTGCGGCGACCCGAAAGTACCAGACCTCAGGAGCATGTCACCAGGGCAGCTTCATGTCTCGGCAGGTACTCAAGTAGTCGGTGGCAGGTGCATCCTACAGCCAGAGTCGAGGTCAGCCGCAGTCAGCAGTGGGGGCGTAGACTACAAATATTGAAGCAGGAGAGAATTGCTGCTCGGGGGCAACTACTTAGATGCGGCTTACAATTGGCTCGAGATCTATCCATCAGGCAGCTTTGGGTTTGCTCTTTCAGCTCCGGGCGTCCATAGCTATACGTGACTTGTTTCCTCGCGCTGGTTCAAAAATTCATCGCGTGATCATGGCACGGTATCTGGGGTGGAATTCTGAAAAGCAAACATGTCAATATATTTGCAACTGCCTTGTTTCTTGTAGGGAGAGCGGGAGGGCTCCTGCAAGCCAACTATGCTAATAGAAAATGACCAAATAACGAGCCATAATGAATCCAAGGTTCAAGTGTGCCGCGGTGCAGCTGGAGGAATCGAAAGTCAAGCTTGGCCTTTGCTCTATGTTCGTACTATGTACTTTTATGTTGGTAAAAGTTCACCTTTCCCGCGGGGCAATCCGACATTACCACGACGATGCTGCAACGAGTCAACATAGACGGCACTGCGCAGGCCCCAGCTGGCTCAAAAAAGTGTTTGATGGTTGAATTCAAGTTCCCGATGGGCCGACTACTTCACTCCATGCTGACTCAGTGAGGCTTGCCGAAAAATTGGACCTTGGAGGCCGCGACGGGCCAGGGTGCAGGTCCGAGATGCATACGGAGTATGTAGTTGACATGCACCTGGAGGCACCAGACGTGGTTGACTCCCGGTACAGATCACCAGAAGTCGATGGGTCTGGTACATGTATATGTAACCAAGGCACCAGACTCGGTGCTGCTGGCAGACGTGGTCACTGGTGACACTGGGAGGCCGGGGCTGGAACCCGGAAGTTTCATTCTGCCAGACCTCGAATTTTTTCAACGTTGTCGACGCCGGCGTACAGCATCAACTAAGATCTTGCTGCCTGGACAGACGTGTCTGACGAAAAGTCTTCTTGACTACGGTTGACCCCAAGCACATTGCATGGTAATGTCATGTAACTATCCGAGGCAAGCGCTATGGATTATGTCAGCTCCAGCTCAACTGTCATGCAGACTCACGCCACTATTTGCCAACACGGGCGTGGGCGTGGCTTGACGGTTTTCACCTCACTCACCAACCAAAAGACCTTGACCCATTTCATTTTTAAACCAGGACGCAACGAGATAGTTAATGCGATAACAATAACCAAGAGGCTTTGGGAGGTGCGAAATCATCCGGACCAGGTGGTGATAATCCTGATTTACGACGTCTAGGAAACTCGGCATTTCATCACATTACTCAGTTCGCGGCCTATGCTAGGACCCGGCTCTAGGCAACCCGCGAAAAGATGCCGAAATCGGTCTGCATCGTAGGCAAGTCCAGATGGAGAGAGCTATGCATAAGATCTGTAGCTGATGTCTTGCCGTAGGCGCTGGGCCGTCTGGTCTGCTTGCAGCCAAGAACCTCCTGTGCAACGCCCCAAAGGGCTGCTTCAAAGTCACCGTGTTCGACGCTCATGAAGGCATTGGCGGGCTATGGCCAACCTCAAAGACGGATACGAAGCGCCAGGTACACCCTTTGATGGTAGCCAACCAAAGTAAACACACCATGCAGTTTAGCGATCATGCCTGGGAAGATGGCGCTCCCCAGCTGCCATTGGCCTGGCAAGTTGGCCGCTACTTGGAGCAGTACATGTCTCGGTACTTGTCTTCACACCCGGATTTCAGCTTGCATCTCAACACACGAGTCGTCCGAGCAGAGCGAGGGGATGAAGACAGCAGTGGGTGGGATGTGCGACTCGAGTCCGGGGGCCGGGAGCAGACACAGCATTTCGAACATCTGGTTGTTGCATCAGGCTATTTCGGCAAGCCCATTACTCCGGAGGGGGTGTCAATTGCACCTTCGGCGGCAATCCCAGTCATTCATAGCAGCCAATATAGGGACTTGAAGAATCTTTTTGGAACCCGTAGCTCTGCCAAGGGCAAGATTCTAGTTGTTGGGGGTCAAATGTCTGGTGTTGAGGTTGCGGGAACCATTGCGTCGCATTTGTCGTCTGCCACAAACTCGCCCGATGATTTCTCAGTGCCCGATATCGATCAGTGCTCAATTCATCATATTATCCAACGGCCAATCTGGGTCTTCCCTTTACACACAACTGCCGAGGCAAGCCCCCCATTCGACAACTCTTTTGCTGCTCCGAGCTGACACTGGACACAGCCCAAAGCTGCTGCTGCGCCGTTCCTGCCTCTTGACTTCTCATCCTATAATCGAAACAATCGGCCACTTCCCTTGGTCAATACTCAGGGTCATGTCGATGAAAAAACTGCACAAGTCGTGAACGGCATCTTCCTAAACGCTTTGGGGACGGACCAGTCTGCCTTTTCGCCTCTCCTTTATGTCGACGATGCAACGAAGACTCAGCCACCTTACTTGGCAGTCAGCGACTGGTATTGCGATTTCGTGAGATCAGGACTAATATCCCTGTCCAATGGGAAGTTCGAATCAATCAGCGGAAACACCGCCAAACTTGATGATGGAACGCAAATTGACGACGTCGTAGCGATAGTGCTAGCAACAGGTTTTGATCCATCACCCTGCGTTAGCTACCTGCCCAGCAAGATTTTGAAGACACTCAACCACTCTCCGCAGCACACGGAACAGCCACTTGCATTGGCATTCCATGGAACTCACCATCCAGATGTTACAGGACTAGGCTTTGTTGGCTTCTATAGATCTCCATACTGGGGAGTGATGCAAATGCAGGCCCGTTTCCTGGCACAATACTGGTCCACGCCAATAGATGCACGCCCTGAAGCACTAGAGTTGAAACTGAAGTCCGACAAGTCCATTCAAAGAACGCTTGACCTCCGAGACGACCCGCGACTCTCGCAGTTCCCGATGGGCGACTATCCTTTCCTCATGCAGGAATTCTCCGAAGCACTTTCAATACCCAGAGTAGATCCATCGTTGAGTGGTATTCCCACGCTCTCGTATAACAGTCTTCCCTTGGACATGCTCACTCCCGCAAGGTATCCATCACCGTCAGACGACGCTTCAGCAAAGGCAGACGCGGAAAAGTTGCGCCAAGACACTGTACACGTCGCTAGGGATGGCCTGACAACACCCCGTTTTATGCCACGTGCGGTGTTCCGAAGTCTGCTAGGCACGTGGAAGCTCGAAAGAGAACTAACAAGCAAGCTGCCAACACACCCGAGCGGTCATTTTAGCGGCACGGCCTGGTTCCTTCTGAGAGACAAGACGTCAGATGGCCTGCAGTGCGCGAGGCAAAGTTTAGGGTCGTCTGATCCCGATGAAGACGGAGGCATGGAATACCTATACATTGAAGATGGAGAATTCAAGACTGAGCAAGGATTCGGCTTTAGAGCAAGCAGACGTTACATCTGGCGATACAATGAGAACGAGGAATCATTGAGTGTCTGGTTCGCCAAACCTGGCGATCCTAAGCGAGCAGACTACTTATTTCACGAGATTGAGTTCTTACAACCAGAAAATGGTCGTGAGAAAGGGTGGTCTGCAAAGGCAGGACATCTTTGCATTGATGACTATTATGATGTCAAGTATAATTTTGCATTTCAAGCCGTCAACTTGCAGAACTGGAGCATAGAATACACAGTCAAAGGACCCAAAAAGGATTACTCGATCAAGGGGGAATACACTAGATAGATTTCCAAGAGTTGGGTATTTACTCATAGTTGCCATCAGTTCCTCACTAGACAGACCCAGTTAGACTTATACTCAACGGGCATATTGAATACATAGATGGAGAAAAGACTAGTGTTCTATTTCACTTTGGGTGAATCATGAGTCTATTAAACGCTTTTGGAACGCCAAACATTTGGTACATCCCCGCAACAAGTCTATAGAGCTGCGCACGTAGGATTCACAGCCGAAGGGGCTCGCAACAATCCGTCTTCCAGCGAGAAGCTACCATCATCGCCTTCAGTTTTGATGTTATTACTATCATCGGTTATATTCTCTCGAGCATCGTAAAAGTGGGCTTGATCGAGTTCGTTAAGCTGATCTCTTGTTTCTGCAGTTAGATACTGGTTCATCTGCGCGAAATCCTGCTGAATAAAATGTCAAAAATACATATCCTGAGCAAACAAACCAACAAAGCAGACTCGATGCTCACCAATCCCCTTACTAGCAGTGATTTCTGCTCTGCCAGCATTCTATCCGCCACTGTTTCCACAACCCGGTTTCGAGGGCGTGCCTCCTCCTCTTGCGGCGGTATCAACTTGCTTGATGATGTATTATTATTGTTGTTGTTGTGGCGGTTAGCCCACCATGACGTGCTCCGTTGTTTTTCGCTGTCGTAAGGGCTAGCTGCGGCCTGCGCATAATAGAATTCCACAACCAGCTTGGCAAGTCTGCCTTTCAGGTATACAATCTCTGTTGTCAGATGCTCATTGTCTCGGACGAGTCGCTTCCTCTCTTCGGCCTCTTCCGCCCTCGCCATCTGCATAAGCTGGAGCTGATTTTGCAGGCTGACGATCTGGAAAGAGTGGTTCTTGACGATGCCGTCAGTTTGCTGTATGTGCGACGGTGGTCAGACATTAGTCACCGAGAGTATGTAGATTGAGAGAGGGAGGGGATCTTTACGTCAAAGGCGGCCCGTAGTTTTTGCAACTGCTCCTCGGATGTGAGGGCCTCGTCGGAACCCATCTTGGCAGTTGTGGGTTATATTTGTAAATATGTCTACACAGTGTTCTTGTCTGAATAATATTGGCGGTAGTGAAAAGTAGGAAGTGGGCTTCATCGGATTTCTTCTGGGGAATATTCAAACATTCAATCAATGCAGCTCGAGTTGGGAGGGCAGGTGCAAGCCAGCAAGCAGCCATGCCAGCTGACAAGCACGGCATTCGAGGTTCGGGGCCGAGCAAGGGCAAACCGTCGCGGTATAATCTGCGAGGCCTAACACGCATTTGACCACACAATATCCAGGACTTGCCGTACTACAATATATGTGCACTTAAGTGTTTTGGTGTATTCCTAGCGAAAGGCACGTATATCTCCTTGCTAGAAATTGTGCCGATTGAGCACATGGTGCACAGCTACCGAACACCATTGGTTGGTTCAAGTACTTTGTACATTGCAACAGCACTATTACAAGCCCTGCCCGGGCACCAGGTCTACAAAAACAGGTTAAAATATGATGGAATCAAAATGGCGGATTGGAGACTGCAGCACTCATGATGACGGCGCAGAGTCGGAGACCTGTACGCCAAGAGTTGCGGCGTCCATTTCAGGATCTAGGTGCAGCCTCCCCCTCCACACCTCACTTCTCATGAAGACCCAATTCTAACAACAACAGCCGCGGCGGCATTTTTTTCTCATCATAAATAGGTATCTAAAAAAGTATCCGACCATCAATATCGACCATGAAGCTCGCTTTATTCAGCGCCAAGCCATATGACAAGAAGTACTTCGACGCCGCCCGCGCCGCGAGACAGCAGACCAATATAGACGTCACCTATCATGAGGCATCTCTAAACGACGACACGGTCGCTTTGGCTGAAGGGGCCGATGCCGTATGCGTGTTTGTTAACGACTCAGTGGGCAGCTCCGTCATCGATCAGCTGGCCAGTCATGGAATCAAGGCGATTCTTTTGCGATGCGCCGGCTTCAACAATGTGGACCTCGCCGCCGCCGAGAAGCATGGCATCGCCGTCGCCAATGTGCCGTCATATTCACCGGAGGCCGTTGCTGAATTTGCAGTGGCCCTCATTCAAACATTGAACCGCAACACTCACCGTGCATACAACCGCGTTCGAGAAGGCAACTTTGCTCTCGACGGACTGTTGGGCCATACGCTCCACGGCAAGACGGTGGGCATTGTGGGAACAGGCAAGATTGGCATCGCCACTGCTCGTATTATGAAGGGTTTCGGTTGTAAAGTCATTGCCTACGACCCATTTCCATCCCCAGTGTTCAAGGAAATCGGCGAATACAAGGCTCTTGACGTGCTGCTGCCGGAATGCGACATTATCAGCCTCCATTGCCCGTTGACGGACTCTACCCGCCATATTATCAATGAAGAGAGCCTCGGCAAGATGAAGGATGGGGTGATGCTGGTGAATACGTCTAGAGGCGGTCTCATCGACACGAAATCAGTCATCAAGGCCCTGAAGAATAAACGTCTCGGGGGGCTGGCCCTGGACGTGTACGAGGGCGAAGGGTCGCTGTTTTACAACGACCACTCCGGGGAGATTATACACGATGACGTTTTGATGCGGTTGACCACGTTCCACAATGTATTGGTGTGTGGGCACCAGGCCTTCTTCACCGTTGAAGCGTTGACGGAGATTGCGGATTGCACGTTTCGAAATATTGAAGAGTTTGTCAAGGATGGGACTTGTAAGAACTTGCTGACCAAGAGATCGGTGTTAAACAGGTCTCCCTCTCTACCCGTCAGAAATGTGTAGCTTGAATAATTATCGTTATTAAGTGAATTCTAGCTAGGGCCTCTTGTCTATCATTTCGTCCCAGTCTACAACAGTCATGGCTCTCTATTTCAACAAAGAAAAAAAAAGAAGAAAGAAAAATAACTTCGCTCAATGCACATCCCTTCTTAAGGATTGCTGACATAACTCCTCGCTCTTCTCAAATCGGCGTCATGCTCCAAATCATCCCGTACAAGACCCTGCTCACCGTTCGCATCGCCCTTCCTCGCCTTCTCGACATCATCCACCCCTGAGCCCTCGGCATCCTCCCCTCCATACGCATACTTGCTTCTCGCGCGGATCCTAGCACCATATTTCCAGAACAGAAACGGAATAGCACAGCAGGCCAAGCTGATGAAGGCGAGCAGCGACGAGGCCCACTGATCGCCCAGCCGATCGTACATCTGCTCCGTGAACAGCACCACGCCAGCGCCCCAAAAACTCCTGATGAACGTCTTGGCCGCCAGCGCCGAGGCAGCCTGGTGCTGATACGAATCCACCAGGTAGTTGTTGGCCGAGTTGTACAGGAAAATGAAGCCGAAGCCGACTGGGAATCCGCCCATGGCCGGCCCGGCCCAAGACAACTGCGGATACGACGACCACGCAAAGATGAACAGGCCGACGGGTATGAACCAGCACGAAGCCATCATGGGGATCAGACGCACCTCGGCCGGCGGACGGCCGTTGTGCCGCTTCACAAGCGTCAGGTAGTGCTTGTTGACGAGCGGCGAGCAAAGCGCAGAGCACAGCACGCCCACCGCCACGGGGATGAACATCAACCCCGTCTTGCCGGCCGAGTACCCCTTGCCCTTTTGGTAAATGATTGGAAAGGCCACGAAGAACATGTACAAAAGGCCGTAGAGGACGCTCATGTACAGCGAGATGAGAAAGACGATGAGCTCCTGGAAGAGCAGCTGGAAAGGGCGGACCAGAAAAATGCGCAGGCGCTCCGACATGGGCCGCAGGTCCAGGTCCTGCTCGGTGACGTGGGAGTTGTCGCCGGTGGAGGCGCGGAGCTTTCGGGCGCGGCGGTCGAGGATCGTCGGCGCGTACGTCTCGGGCACGGTGAAGGTAATGAGGATCCAGACCACGCCTGCGAAGATGAGCTGGATCCAGTAAAGCCACCGCCAGCCGGTGGCATCAGAGAGGTAACCACCGATGAGGGGACCGACTGACAAAAGGATGGGTTAGCGTGTCTCGGTCCATGCGATGACATGACGGGGAGCAAACGTACTCGCAGGGCCGATAAAGGGGGCCGCTGAAAACGCGGCCATGGGCACGCCGCGCTCTTCGTTCTTCCATAGGTCCGCCAGCGTTCCACCTACAAGCGTCATTGGCGCAGAAAAGGCAATGCCGTCAATGGCTCGGCAGACGAGCAGCGTGGCCATGTTCTTGGCCACGGCGCACGGGATGACGAAGACGACGGCAATAAGCAGTGTAGATCCGCTATCAGCAAAAAGCAAACAGTCAGTGTCTACAACCACACATTTCCAGGAGAAGTACCGAAAAAAGAAAGAGAGAGAGTGTGAGAAAGGCGAGGCGACTCACTATATGATTCTTCGGCCGTAAATCTCGCTCAGCGGCGCAAACACCATCGGCCCAACACCAAAGCCCACCACAAACAGCGAAATGCTCAGCAAGGCCACCTCCTCGCTCGTGCCAAACTCCTCCGCCACGCCGGGAATGTTGGCCGTCACGACAGACGAGGCCAGCGCCACGACGAAGCACGTCAACGCCACCACCATAGTACAGTACCACTTGAACGCCTTGCTCCAGTTCTTGGGGTTCCCCGGGTCGTCAGGCGTAAAGGCGACGAGCTTGTGCGCCTGGTCGAGCGGGATTTCGCCCGTGCGAGATGGAACCGTGTACTCGTCCATGCGGGCGCCAGTGGTGAGCGTCCGGTAGGGCAAGTTGATGTCGAGATTAGGGTCGAGCGTTTCTTTTTGAGAAGGATGAGCCCCGTGAGACGGTCTCCTCGAAGAAGACGAGCATCGTGTAGACGACGACGTGTCCATGGTGACTGCGTGTTGGGGAGCGTCCGCTTCAGAGGGGGCATCTCTTGCGTCCATGTTCTTAATGGGAAATAGAGGGCGCGCGTCGTCCAAGGAGAAGGTGGAAACAAAACAAAAACCTGCGCCTAGAGCAACGAGCGGTTTTGAAATAATCGACGACTTATACGTAGCTATATATACATGTCAACTAGTGTGTGACCGCCCATGGCTTTCCTCGGCACCTCCCTGCCCATTTCACGTAAAGGCATAGCCGAACCCGTGTACCGCGAACGGTTATCGCGGACAAGCCGCATCCGAAAAAAAGTGAGCTAGCAGCATCCCCACAAGGCAGAAAAAGAGCTTAAAAATAACAGAGTAATACTGGAACCCTGTGAGCTTTCAGGCACGGTGCCACGCAAGGATTGGCTGTCAAGGTGGCCCATGGCCAGAGCACTGAAGACTCAAGAGTCCGCGGAAAATCTTGCCCCCACTGACGGAGCGAGCAAACGAGTAATTGTCGTCGGATTGGGATCCACTCTTGGCCCCATGGTGGTGTTAGCTCACGCTTTCGAGGAAATAAGCTCGGAAATTAGGGACAAAGCCCTGGATGATGGCGAAGCCGAGAATGGGTCCCATCCTTAGAAACAACAAAAACACAAACCCAAGAGATACCACGTTGCGATAAAATCTAGCCAAAGAATACTTGACCCAATTGCTATCTTATATACATATTTTATCTTATTGTCCACCTTTTTTTTCCTAACTTCCTATGTCTTACTTCCTCCGCTCTCCCTGTATTTCGGACCCCGATCTGACATGGTACATTCTTCTGGGACTCCACCCGGCGCCGGTGTGGGTCCGGTCCTCGGTCGGCCAGTGTGTACATAGGCATTCCTGTATGCAAAATTTGGTTGCCAGCGCCGGCATCGGTTATGCTAACAAATAAAGCGCGGTCTAGAATTAATTCGGACTCCAGCTTGGCGCCCGGTTTCCTCCATCTAGACCCTCAAGCCGGTCGTTGAGTCGGCGGTAGTGGACTCTGGAGTTGACGGCCCGTGTCACGTTTTGATAGTTTTGATAGTTTGACGTCACAAGGATTGCCGGCTCGCGCTCCCATTGGCCCGCTCGCATAAGATTGATAGTTTCTGCCCGGATCGTCAAGCCCCTGGTCTCCAATCTCGACGCCATCAATGCATATGCGTACTCCCAGGCCCCAACATGAGCGCCTTATCGTAATTGCACGTCGAGTCTTGCGATGCCATTAACTCCTTCAACCAAGTCCACCGACGCCGTGCCGCTCATCCTGTCGCTGCCCCTGGCTCTGGTGTACCAGCCTGCTCGCTCAAATGCAGACCGTCGCTCCACGAAGTTCGTGCCCACGGTGCCGTCAAAAGGATCAACAATACCGCCAATATCCGGTGTTTTCATCATGCTGGAGCTTTCGCCATACCCCGTGAGGCTATCGCCATCGTGGTCAACCAGACGCACGCCTCCGTTCAACTGGATAGCTGTCCTTGTAAGCGGCTCAAACCTTCCCGAGTCCACCGCCCATGCATTTGCCCACCCGGAAGAGCTGAACGCCTAAACAACCATCTCTGGCGAGGATTCTAGGGCAATCTCAGTCAGGTCGTCGTATGTTGCAATCGTCTGTCCCCAGATTTCGAGGGGGTATGATGGGACGTCCCGGAATGCATCGCTGAATACATCTACCTCACCATAACCCTCCTCAGCCTGCCAGGGCTCCGAACTACTTTGTCTCCGAATCCTCTCATCACTGAAAATTTCCGTATTCGAGTGACGCATAGTGCTACCATAAGATGGATCATGGAACAGGTCTGGCGGAACAGTGAAGAACACAATCAATTGCTTGTTGAAGACGGTGTCTGTGGTGTTCGGTGGTGACTCTGCCGCAAAGGTAGCTACAACTCGGACCCCATGCCTTACATCTGATGCAGCCGTATACAGTATTGGTATTGCGGAAAAAGCTGCTCCCGGGGGTCGAAACCACACTTTGCGAAGAAGACGTGTAACAGACCCAATCGGAGCGTCAGTTCCCAGGCAAAGGCAACCTGTTCGAGGGTCAGTGAACAGGATGTGATATCCATCGCTGAGAGGCACAGCACGGTAATGGTCTGCGCTCCTTGCCGATACAGTCCGTATAGCTCCACTGTCCGATATCTGGCCGTCTTGAAATGCTCTCGATCTCATGCACATAGGCCTCGTGGGTTCGCTCGATCTTGCAGCCGAGGCTTGGTGGCTGTCTAATCTGGTTACGCCAGTACTCCAAAGTGACGCCAAATCTGTTCTTTCTGCTCCACTTATCGTAGTGCAAAATTCATTCCCCGAATCCACCAAGGGATCAAGCGGGTTCAATAAACCAGCTGCAGAGCTGATTAGGCGAAGCTTTTGGGCCGTATCAGTCCCTCGTCGCGCCGGTAGAAAGTACAAAAAGTCGCTTGGAGACGACAGTGGAAACCACCGACTAAGATCTTGACCTGTCAAAGCATCCACCTAGTGTAGCTCGATTCCGGCCGCGCATCCAAAAGCCACGCAGTCTCGCTGAGGACAAATTGCAACCGAGCGTGGTGGATCGTCAGCTGTGCAGATGTTTCTATATACGGATCTCTCACCAACTTCTACAGCAGGTGGTTCCTGAGGTGACCTTTCATAGCAGATGCAATGTTTGGCTGATCCTGTCAGTGGATTCTCCCTTGAGGTTGGCACAGAGCCCGATTCTGACGGCCCAGCCGTGCACCAGGCAATGGGCGACAACCTCGAAGTAAGTTGCTCATGCGTTGCGATTTCACAAACCATACCCACACGCCCTTCCATTAGAAATGCCACTGAATGTCTCCCCGATGAGGTATCTATGCTGGAACACAGAATCCGGCGAGGGCAAATAATGCTTGCAACGGGGCGCATGAAACCCAGAGGCATGCCTTGCCTACGTCTCAAAGGCACAGACCAACCCGAACGTCCAGGCTGATAAACATGATTCAGTTCGTATATATAAGCCAGTTGATCTAGAGCCGCTATCAGATACCGCCCGCAGAGACTGACCGTAAATGATACCTCTCCATGCAGCTGACTCTTCCGGCGTCTAATCGGTAGTTGTCGAAAGTCAGCTTCTCCCATTTGAGCGAATACCCTCCCGTTTGGATTGGCAAGATTACACTCCCTTGAAATCCACTTGCTCATTATTCGTTCCTGGCTCATCCCAAGTGATCTTGCCAACCCCATTGGCGTGATGATGCGCAGCATGCTGCTCCACCATCCCCCTTGCTTCAGCATCTGCACAAGCAGTGTGCGATGCAAGCTTGCAGAAAACCAAGACCGGCATGTATGACGGGCAGCATTAAAATCAGCTGTCGAAAGAAAAGAATAGATGTATTGCAGTATTTCTGTAGGAACATTCATTGAACTTGGTTTGTCTGTTCAATAAGCGCGCTGCGTTAGCAAAAAGTGCGACGCCTTTACCTTTTCGACTTTGCCAACATACCTTCTGTATCGGCATCATGGCGGATGTAACCAGCTCCTCTGGCTGCCTCTGCTTGATTCGACTGCCCTGGAGGAGCTCGGATGCCACGATTGTTGATAGGCATGCGGGTCGCAACAGCCATCGTACCAAGAGACTGATCCGGTGACCGGGTGTCGTTTAATGACGCTCTTCGAGACGCCCTTGTGGAGTAGAATCCAGCTACTCCTCGTGAAACGAATATCTGTGACGACGTCTTGCTGGTATGTTTGGTACAATTGTCACGATCGAGCCGCTGTTACGTATCTAGGTAGTATGAGGCGTTAGGAACAAATAGCAGATATTTTAGGGCATGGGAAAAGTTAGGTAATAATGTGAATAGGAGATGATGTACGGAGTATTCGCAGCCTCCTTGGTCTTTTTGCGTCAACTTAGATGTAATTGACTCGCACCTTCCTGACGAAACCATGCATCCAGACTCGCTTAACAAACCAACTTTCACATCCGACACCTTACAAGCTCACCTAGCATGCTCCATATGTTCCTCATAATTGATATAATTACCACGACCAGAGTCTTGGAGAAGCAAACAAAATCGTAAGCTAACAAAAAAGGTATTCTTTACACGAATTCCACGTAAACCACCGGTCCACCATCTAACAGATAATTCGTCCTCATTATGTCATAACTCCTTCCAACGCACAACCCAACAGCCCAAAAATGCATCACCAAACGTCCAAGTTCCAGCAAGTCATAAAACAGCAAACACCTCCTCAACACTCAAGATCTTTGTGTGCTGTCTACCCATACATTATCCTCTCCAATACCCAACGAGCTGTCTGCATTCGGTAGGATCAGAGTAGGACGGCCTTGGGACAAACGATCGCCCTCCGTCGTAACATCATCATCGGCTAGCGGCGGTGGATCATGGTAGATCCATGGAAGTTGTAGCCTGTGCCCGTGTTAGTACAAAATTCTCTTAGGGGATGCCTTCATACCACTCACGGAGTAACTAAGCTTGGGTTGACAAACGTCAAGCCTCTCTCTTTGAACTCGTCTAGAGTGCTTCCCCTTCTCAGGATTTGGCGCTGAAAATGTGGAACATCATCATCTGAGGCCTCCTCTTCTACAGCTTGTTCGCCCTCGCCGTTTTGCTCTCGCCCATTTCGAATCGCTCTTAGCGCAATCACTCTTGTCAGAGGCTCAAAGCGTCGGTTAAAGTAGTAGCTATACCAGATCGTAAATGGAATAAGTGGCAAGACTGCAACAGACTGCACAAATGCCCTAGAAGAGGCTATTTGCCCCACCATGACTGTCTCGAAAACCAGAAGGCCAATGACTATGCGGTAGCAGATTATACGCCACGCACCGCCCGTAGCATGTTGGGGTTGATCCATAGCATACAGCAGCATATACTTGAATGTAAAGTATCCCAGCCCAAAGTAAATTATGCCGAAGATGAGAATTATTTCTCCGTTTAGTAGAACACTGTAGATGATACACAGGTTGAACACAAGCAGCGCAGTCGGTAGATAGAAGCCGTACTGAAATTTTGGAGGCTTCTGTAATTCAGCAAAATCGCGGGGCGTGGAGGAGAGCCACCGAGATATTGGGAAGAGAAATACACTTCCGACTTCAAGTATTCGAAAGGGCATGAGACCAATTCCCTGCAGAATGATGAAGGATGTGTAGAACAGTGAAAGATCCTCCACGTCACGGGCAATAATCCGGGGTATCAGGCTTGTATCTTTAAGAAAACGCCTCAGTACGTTGAAGAATTCGAATCCAGTTCTCGAAACTGCAAACACGAAGAAGGTGTTGAAAAATGTAAAGAAGAAATTCTTGGAGATGACAGACAGCTCCACGTCTCCTTGCGATACCATGCCTTGGTGGTTTGAAAGCCAGTCATAGAGGTATGGCACTGAAACGTTGAGCAACGAGACGATCAGCGTCGGCGCGCTGTTCTGAATGAATGACCTGATGACAGTATGGTCACTCAGCCACGCGGCAAATTTTGGCAAGACCTGATCAATAGTGCATATGCTTAACAAGGACGCTAGGAATGCCGTGGGAAATATCCAGACGAGCGTCAACACCGTGATGAAGAGTGTGATGGCCCATGCTTTCAGTCGACGGATGCCGCGCAAGGCGTAGGTATTCTTCCACACCAGGTCGGAAGGCGAGGGGGTTGGCTTGGTCAAGAATCTACCAGGTCGAGGATCTATTCTAGCCTGGATAACCATCTGACAAGATGCGACCGAATCCACAGTGACGAGGGCCATGTCCGTAGGTTCGTATTCCTTCTTCCGAGCTTGGACAATCTGCTCGTCGAGCCGGCGCAGCTTCTCCTCGTAGTAGTCGATTGCATCAACCTTTTGGCTTCGGAGAAGCAGTGGACCGTATCGAATAGACACCTGAGGTCGGTCGCCGGCAAACATATACGGCCGGTCTTGCTGGCTTGAGAGAAGCCGGGCATTCTCGGCAGACTCCTCGTCCCTATTTATGCCGCGGACTTGACCGACTGTATCATCGTCCACGTCCTGTGTCTGGGTTGCATCACTGTGTTGTGTTGATGATTCTTGAATTTTGAGATATTTTGCCCAGGAAGCTTCTAGCTTCCGCAATAGTAAGTCTCGATGCCGAACTAACTGATCGAGATACTTCCAGTCCCTGCACAATGTGATGGAATCCACGAGGCAAATATCGAGCTTTTCAATCAAGTCTTTGAGCTTTTCTTCGGACCTGTGCTTGATCGGTATACCTGTAAGACGGAAAGTTCGGTCCGTTACTGTCGACTGCGAGCCCAAATACCTTTGCCTGAGGTCGACGATCCGGAACGTCTCCCAATTAATCGAATATAGCGTAACAGCTACAAAAAAATACGTAAAGATGACGTATGCCCACAAGTACGGTTTCTCGTTGCTCTTGTCCTCGTCGTTATCTTTGAGCACGTCAAGGCCGTTTCGATACAGTATTTGTGGCGAACCAAATAAATCTCGACCGCGTCCATCGTGCTCCGGCTTGTTCGGATTTAGCCAGGTCTCGTTTCCTCGGAAGCTCATATTAATTGGCTCTAAAACCACTATCGCAAAAAACGCCATGATGGAAAAGAGTCGGATAGCCATTTTGAAAAATGCCAAAAACTATTAAGCATCAGAAACCGTGGGTAGCGTGTATGAAGTGGCGGGATGGTGCCTACCACAAACGCATCCAATCCCGCAGCCGCCAATATTTGGTTTTCGCTAATTCTGTATAACTGCGGGATCCATCCGAAAAACGAATTCGACAACGCCGGCAGATTGATCTTGGGGTCGAGGCGGCGCTCGCGAGCCGCGTAGAGCGACGGCCATCGTGGGCGAAGTATCTAAGCAGGCAGACCATTAGTGTCTCCTACTTTTGCACACATGTTGCGCATTAGGCTCCATTCACTCACACAGAAGGTAATGAAAGCTGAGACTCCCAGGACAAGGGACAAGACGAGTTGCAGCTTGAGGTCATTGATGGTCTGGCTCCTGGGCGCGATGAGTTCCTCCCGAGAACAGCCGTTATTCTCCGGCCCCATCATGCTTCATAATTGTGTCGGTGTTCTCGGCACCTGCAGCTGCTAGTGTGGCGGGCTATGCATAGGCAAAGAGATTTGGAGGCTTTGACGTCGGTGACAGCAGGTGTTAGACACAAGGGTGACGACAGTGAAGCAATGCCGGGTTGGAAGCTTCAAGATCAATAGTAGCATGATGGGCCTTGGTCCTGTGACGTCTTGCTTTGTGCACGGGCCATGCATAACAATTTTATGTATGTAAATCTTCACCGAGTGTTGCGTAACTACCTAGGTAAGTACTCCGTACCTGGCCCCAGTCTGCAAATCGTCTCCACCAACGGGGAGTACCGAGAACCTGGGGACAGCAACAGAGTGCTGCTTTCTAGCTTCACTCCAAGTAATGGCCTTGGACCGCCAGGAGGTCACAATTGCATTCGTATACTGTGTTACCCATTCGAATCTACACAATAGAAGCCTAGCCAACCTCCCGTCTCCTACTCATTTACCCTACATACTCTGTGCAATATCTGTGTAAATGGTTTTATGTCAACCCTTGGGCACTGTTCGTTGCATACAAAATCATACATTTGTTTTTACGGCGATGTAAAAACCATCCGAAGTGGCCTGGAACGCCGTCAACAGATCATTGTGGTTAAGACAATGGGTAGTACTAGTATCTCGCGGTGACTTGCTCACAACCCTTTCCCTTGGACATCCCTACCCACTGAGCATGCTCTGGACGCAAGCCAACGAAGCGACAAAGCACTTGCAAAGCATAACAATTACTGTCCTATGTAACGTGTGGCAACAGGATCTCACAACGAATTATTACTGCCTCCACATCAACGTCGCAGGGGGGAGACGGCCGCTCGCCTCAAGTAGTATTCAACTGCTATAACCAAACGAGAGGATTGGCCCCCAATCTGCGCGAGGTAAGTGAGCCGTCATATTTTCAGGGTGACACTCGGAGGGCGTCAAATAGCAAACTGAGACTTCCAGAGCAGCTCCGGCCAGCATGGGCCAAACAGACACCATGCCAATACGACCGACCTTACAGATGATCAGGCCATTATCGGCCTTGCCGCGGCCGCCCTTTTTGGCGAGCCATCAGCGGCTTCTTGTGACACAAATGGTGAAATTCATTATCTAGCGCGGTACTGAGTACTCTTTCGTTAATCAATACTTGGATTCAGGTGCTCGTGGTATAACAGTGTCATCATGCCCGACCTGTAAAGGACGAATATGCCACCAGGGAATCGATTTGTTCTCATTGGAAGCAGAGTCTATGTGCGCAAAATTGTTCCCTTGATAATATTGCTCAGCTACTATTTGTGCAGGTTGTCGGGGAAAATACCCCTTATTTCGTCAACCAGAAGCGAAAACCTCGATTCCAAAGCCCTCCCATTCTCCAATTTTGGAAGGCGGGCATAATTAAGAATAGTGGGCAAATGAAAGTATGACGCGCTGCCGGCACTCTGACATCGATGCCTGGTAATTGTTCTCACGAATACAAAGACCTGGATTCGGGACTTGATTTTTTTCTTTTGTGGGAGACACGCCACACACACCCAAAAAACAAAACAAATCATCTAGTGACTTTTTCATGGCTTGTGCTCGTGAGCCAGCGTTCTCGGCTCGATGCTTTCGTCAAAACTTTCCAGTTATCAATCCCCTGTTACCGGCCAGTAAGCTTCAGGGCTCATGAAGTGATATCACAATGGATTCGGTTCTCTGTCAGGTGCCTTTGCATGGCCATCTTCTTTGGTGTCACCAGGAAGTGGGAGACCGGCTGAATGTGATCACCTGAGTGTCAATCCGCTTACCCCTGACGAGCACTGCGCCGTCGGATCTTGAGGGCAAATGTAATGCAGCCATGAATAGCACGATCGCTATAGCACAGCATCCATCTGTCACACCGTGTCGGACGACGTTAATGTGCTTTGGTGTTGGTCACTCCGTCGAGGGAAAGATAAGAGAGCGTCAGCCGCATGGGACATGCTCAGCCAAAACAGTTGACACGCCCAAGTAATTGTTGCACAGTTTTGTTTTCGAGAGTGACGAGACAAATTATCCGAAACTTTGTGTGTTTTCATGCCCTTCTCCCCGTACTGCTACTATTCTGTCGACCGCCGTTAATCCCGACCCTACGGCATTTGCTAGCATGTGACGGGCTCATGTGGTCATTCCACTTGGAAGTTTCTGGAGTATTTTCCAGAGCGTCGGAAGCCAAATGCTTTAGGTTATTGATAATGGTGAAGCCGATATGAACCAGGAAGCTACCTTGCCTTGACAAATTGGGAATCTTGTCCGGTAGACTGCCTCATGATAATGGTATAGGAGTACAGAGGTTCAGCTTCGTTTTTCGTTGCCGTTAGAGGATCTTTGTCGGTGGAGCTTGGCATACATTACAGTGACTCGGAGTTTTCTGCTTCTGGCTATCCGCCGTGGTATTTTGTGAGACTGGTGATATGGGATCAGCCCGTCCGCAAAGATTGGACCGATGGCCGACTGCCGGTCTCCCGAGTCCCCAAGCAGAAAATTGTGCCACATTGGGTAATTCGGTTGTTTCCCCTTCGCTGCAGGTGGGTTCTGAAGGATCTGTGGTACCTACTACGAGTTAATGTGAGGAAACACGCCAACGGCCGCATATTTCCTAAACAGAACCTGCTCAATACTTGTACTACAGTATGTGGGCATGTCAGAAATCCCGGTTATGTACCAGATATAGGACCCGGCCCCTTGAAGTAGTCATGTGAGATTGTGGTCTCATTGTGGAGGAACCCGATGTCCCCAAATTGTTCTATTCGTAGGAGCCAAAGGCAACATATTGAATGCTATATAAAGCAACATATAAGGGTCCGCGTTATTCGTGCTAATGACTATCGACGGCGGAGGTTAGCAGGAATCATCATCAATAAATTTCTGTAACGTTTCTTCAAGAAAACATTTAACCCTTGCGAGCAGTATTGTGCTCTTCTTGTGACAAAAACGCCACTGTGCTACCGGTAACATCACGGTTGAGTATGGCGCCGGGATGATTGATGCCATCAGCTTACCTGACTGTTACTGCTGTCGCGGGAGAAAACAAGTGATATGAGAAAATGGGAGCTATCCAATATACAGGAACCAACAACGAATAGACATTGGCAGTGACTCGGTTGCATGCGGGAAGCTACATTGCCAGCTCATCTTTGTGGTTGGCTAATTAGGATTTCCATTCGCCTTCTCTCTGGTAGCATCATATGCCGGAAAGAAGCAGATATTGAGTGGCGTGAACCGTTTGAAGCAACCATAAGAAACAAAGCCCGGGGACACATCCGTAAACTCATTCGTGCGACAGTGAGGAGAGGACGCTGACGGCGACCGATAAGATCCGTCTAGGATTGTACAAACATGTTTGTTCCACAGCTATTCACGCCGCAGAAAAGAAAAGTTCTTGCGCAATGACGAAGCGTCACGATCATGCAGGCTGCCGCCGCAGTAATGAAACCGCCAAAAGTTGTCGAGTTCCAGATTTGATGAGACCGCAAAAATAGGGCCTTTGAATTGACTCGAAGACTCGTGACACTACAAGCACACCAACACAGATGGTTACTCGTCCCTTGATCTTGACGAGGAAGCAGTATAAATTGAGCTGGTTTGCCCTACGATGTCAAATTTGACTTGATGAATTGGACACATTCAACAGCTATTCAGTCATTGACAAGAAATAAAACGGAAGGCCCAAGTCCAAAATATTACGCATTGCCAATACTCTAAATCGTAGGATGTCTGCAAACAACAACAAGACGCACGGAGTGGTAAATAATGGTTAGATGGACCAGCTGTCGCTGAAAAACTACGAGAGTCGAGAGTATGCTTCTAACATTGTACCAGGAGCCGGAGTCACAAACAATTCAAAGATAGCATCGTCGTCGTCCGTCACAACGTCTTACGGCATGCAGAGTTTTCTATCAGAGCCTGGTCCCTGGGTCGCCAAAGGGGCCATCCCACCCAGCAATGGCCCTACGTGGACAAACCACAGTCAATCGAGTGGTGGAAACGCATCTGCCCATCAGGGTTCTCGACATCGATAGGTCATTTTGACGACGACATGTTTTTTTTTTTTGGGGGGGGGGGGGGGAGGGGGGTGCGATGTCTGTTGTGTCTCGTCCAAGTTCAACTCATCGACTCGCTCATATCAGACATCATTCTCCCTCTCTCCAAAAAAACCCAAAAAACAAGGGAAATAAGGATTTCGCGCATGATTAGATTCATAGGTAACAAGAGCAATGAAACCATTCACCTTGTTGGCCATTGACATCCATTTTGATGTTCGTGCTTAATGTGAGGCCGATAATGACTTCAGGTTCATGGTCTTGTAGACGCAAATGGTGCCAGTTTCCAAGGTTCTGCAGATCGCCGCGTGAAAGCAAAGGTTTCCGGGGATCGTGGATTCATGGATTGATAGGATATCACAGATCCGGTCCGAGACAGTGCCCTCGAGTGGATGATGTTGACTGCTTTGGGCTCTAGACTCCTAGCCAACTGTTCGATCAAGTGAGTCCTGGTGCTGAGACTGAGACATGAGAAGAAAAAACAACATTGCAAGTGGACGAACGCATCGGGGCAAAATAGAGTACTACGCGCTTGTACTCTATGATTATCAGACCGCGGTAGCTGCTTTCGGATTGTGTACAGTGGGAGGCTGTTTTACCGATGATAACATATCTAGGAAATGTTCTTCATGTTTGGTACTCCAACTCATTTGAATTGATGAGCACTGGTGGGGGTGTTGGGCTGGGCGAATTCATCACATTGATGAAAACGGGTAAAAAACGAGCCGTCAGTACCGTGGTGAGCCTCTTGGTTCCGGAGACGACCCGAGCGAAAAAATACTAGCATCAATTGGGGAGGTTTTACTAGTATTGCGTTGACTCTCAATCCCGTGAGAGACCTGGCTCGGCCTGACAGTAACAGTGTCTCTAATAATTCTGGTTGTACCGCTTGTTGTTGCCAGCAATATGGCCCACACGCACCTCAAC